ACAAAAAAAAAAAAAAAAAAAAAAAAAAAAAAAAGAAATTTAAAAGAACACTTCAACTCCAACTGGACTGAGTCTTCAAAACCAGCTGAAAGTAGCAGCTTTCTGTACTGAGTAATACCAAGCAGTTCATTTACTCATTTATTTTCTCTGTAGTAAAAGGAGTTCGATTCTACTGGAAATGAAATTTTGACTCTAGTAGTCACCACTCATTTCTTAAAGCAGAACAAGTAGCTTAATCTAACATTAGATGAAATATATGGATGTGTGACTGTTTTGATGTAGTAACCACGTGAGGTTTTCCTTTCAGGTTTTTGGGTTTCAGTGTTTATTTCCCCCTTACCTCAAATAAAACAAGCAGCAATAGATATTTGTTTTCCCTGTCCTTTTTATTTGTAAAAGTCTATAGAAGACATCATTCCTTTTGGTTTCCCTCTCAGATCTATTCAAATGTACACCTGTTGCCACAGTATGGGTTTGGTCTGTTATTACTGAAATACTGCAAATCTCCCTCCAGGAGAGTTCTCACTCTACTGGGAATCAGGAGCAGATGTTAACTAAACAGCAGGACCTCAGCTTTATGCTATAAGCTACACACAGACAATAACTTAGAAAGCGAGGAAGAGGAGAGAGTGAAGCTGGGAGAGCTGAGCCTGAGGTTAGCAGAAAACCTTACTCACAAGATGTAACTGGTCATGGGAGTTTGCCTAGCTGCTCTGGGATAGAAAAAAGGAGGTGTGTTCTGACCATGCCACCAGAAAGTTGCTATGGAGTCTGCAACATTATTCAGGTGATTTGAAAATTCTTCAGTAGTGCTTTTCCTATGTTCTTCCACAGATTTTCAATTTGCAGGGTTGCTGGATTTTTAAAATTATTTATTTAAATTTTATTTTACTATTACAAGTGAACTATTCAAAGATAATGTAACTTAGGAAAGAATATGGACCACAATATTTTATCACATGGACAAATATGCCTTAAAAAGGAAACTTTATCATGCAAACCTAGCACTACTAGAGTAATATGGACATAAATACTAGTTTTACATGGGTCATTTCTTGTTTTAAGAACGTGGAATGAAGTCTGTTGCAAATAACATTCTGTACCACGTAGGTAATAATGACATATTTATTACTGAAAGTAATTAGAAGTAAATTAAATTTGTCAATAAATGTTTTAATTAAATATTTTTTTAAAAGTTGAGTCAAAATTAACTAGATTTTATTATTATTATTCTTTTCTAAACATTTGTCTTCTGGCACAAAATGCATCTAGAAATAACGCCCTCTTTGGTTGTTTCAAGGAAGCACAACGGCTGAGACCAGGATGTAGTCACAGGGGTCTGATGGATGAGCTTCTGATTATGTACTTTCTAGACACATGACAGGCTTAATTTTGAAGTTGGGAAGTATTGAGGATAATCAGCTCACCCACCTCCAATCAATTTCTTACATTTATGAGATTTTGCATTTTCTTTTAAACATTTGTAAGTTTTTTTGTTTGTTTGTTTGTTTTGTGGTTTTTTTGGTCATTAGTCGTTATATCTGTTCAGCTCTTAAAGAAAAGAGGTTTCAGTTGCTGGAGTAATATATTACTTTTTGGAGTGTAGTAAATACAACAAACATATCACTGTAAATATGGTTTTACATACACAGATAAAGGACGTACCTAGTGCAAGCTGCTAGGCCACATTTAGTAAAAGGTTTATTGTGAACAAAATAGCAGAATGAACCCAAACAAATCAGGGAATAAACTATAAGCTAATGCAGAAGTCACACTGCGTGTGCTTGGCAAACTGCAAGGTACACAGCAGCCACTGCATGTTATTCAGAGCTGCTAAAATGGACAGTGAAACAAGCCTGTTGTACAGGTGCTAGACTTTGATTTAATAAATAGTCTGTACAGTATCAAACTATATAAAAGTCTAAAAAACACAATGAGAACTACAATATTTGCAAATCTATTCTATATTGTAAAAATGTTAAAATCAGGTTCAAACCACCATTAAAAAATGTGAAATATGCAAGTTTTCAAGTGGCAAGGAAGGGAGCCATAAAGGTTAATAAGAGTTGCTTTGCTTTCTCCTTGTTTCCATTATCTTCATATACCTTGTGATCACACAGATCTCAGCAATTCTTTTCAGTGAGGCAGGAGATGAGCTAAAGTATCATCAGTGATTTCAGCAGGGAAGATTGGCTGCATAAGGACTGAAAGGCTATTTTAAAAGAGAAATGTACAGTAATGTCTGTTCATGTAAACACTTGGAAAACACAGGAACAAAATTATTTTTTAACCACAGAGCTGTGAAATCGGTGGAGTCACGTGGATCTGTAATAAATGGCAGAATCTTTTAAAATGCTAAGTCTTCTTGAAAGACTGCATTTAGAATAACGTGAGTGCTTATTTGTGTTTAATGGCAAGCTGCAAAGATCATATTCCCAAATTAATATAGCTCAATATCTTTTAAAGAGGCAGTAATCCTTTATGTCTATTTCTCAAAAAGCATAGAGTGAGGAACTGATAATTAAAGGCAATATAAAATGGTAGGCAAGATGAAACAGATGGCTGTAACGTAATTCTTGAGTCTTAACTGGCACTTAACTCTAACTCTTTCAGTTTGACAAATACAATCAGACACCTATGTTGACATACATATGGTATGCTTAACTACTTTTATTTATGTAACTGAGGTATTAAAATTGCCTTGAAAAGCGGACATCTAAAGAAGAGAAAATGAAATGAAGAGGAGAATAGTAGTCACTGTTTTTGCTGATCTATATGATAGTGGCTGTTCTTCCTCCAATATTCTTAACTTCAAATTTCCATGCAAAAACTGTCTTTTGCTTTGCTGAATGGGTAGCTTGGAAAAGTGAGAGGAAGTCCACTGTTTTTCAGCAAGAGTGAGTTATGAAGACTTTTTCTTTAATGAAGTATAATAGGCTAAAAGTGTGTGCATCTCACACGCTGCATATCATACACTTTTAATATATACACTGTCCTTATACACAAGCATCCTTTATGTACACCGATACCACCTTCACTAGGAAATTAAAAGTCGATAGATAATGAACCTTGTGCTGTATCTTCTCTTCCTCTAACATAGATTTCACATGGAATCTCCTCCATCACTCTGTCTTCTATGACTTGCTCAGGGCAGTCATGTGCTTGTTTGAAAGTGTAACTACTTTTTTTGAATGTGCTATTGAATGTTTTCATTGGCTGAGGTTGTGCAAAATCATTGCGGAAGGGAAGTTCCATGGAGCTGAGGTTTGTCCTGCTTTGCTTTATATTGGAGGCCTGAGAGCCACAGTGATGGTCATGAATGCATCTGGAAGCTGTTGAAGAGCGTCTCATTTTCTGATAGTTTTCAAGTTCTTCTGATAAATCTGCCAAATCTGCAGAAATTTCTTTGTCCCTCAGTGAAAACAGTTCATAATGTGGAGGATCAAATACTTCCTGGAAGCCAGTTTTATTGAAAGCAGTCTTGCAAGCCATAACCTTTTTGCGAGGTTGCTTTACTTGCACTAGAATTGAAATGATAAGAAGAACTAAAACAATCCCTGATGTTATGCCAATGATTGTTCCATGTGTTCTGGTGATTTGTTCAAACAATCCAGATTTTTTTTTTTCTGCAAAGAAAAAGTAGGGATTATGAGAAGGCTTTCAATATTTTTCACATTTTGGATTGTATGTTAGAAATAAGCAACTGAGATCACCAAGTAAGTGCTGTTCTATTAATGAAATGACTTCATGGTACCAGTGACTAGACTGTATGTCAATAGGATTTGTTCTATTGACAAGTCTAATTGTCCACCTTCATTAGTGACGGCCATATCGTAATTTGGTGGCAGGTGTAACTCTGTGGCAAGTGCAGAGTTAGTCATCTGGGACTATACTGATCAATTAACATTCCAAAATCTACAATTTGAACAGCTACAGATGCTTCTCCTATCAAAGTATGCTTGTGCTGGTAACATTCCCACTGATGCCAGTGGAAGAAAACTTGGATTTAAATGCATCTGTTTGTTCTTTAAAATTGAATACTACTGCAGTGACAATGTAAGGCTGTTTGTTTTCACATCTTTTGGAAATTTAGTGTCTGTCCTTTGCACAAAGCCTGCTAGAAAGACTGCGATGCAGGGAACTTCAGCAGAGGTATATTCCAGTTGTAACTGTTCACTAATCGTCTGTTGGGGGTAAAACTGGGAGAAAGGGGCAAAAAACCCAACCAGATCGTGTGGCATTTTTGGGTAGTACTTCATATGAAAACACACAAGATGGCAGCATCAGAACAAAATGGTTTTCCATATATAGAATTCTTATTTTAAGATTAAGATTTTCCAGATGGATCTCTGTTCTGTAGAGTACTACTTTCAGAAGAACAAAAGAATTCTACACCAATAGAATCCGCTACATTCACTAGCAGAGGGAGAAAAAAAAAAAAAAAAAAAAAAGCATTTAAGACTATGTAGAAGAAAACGTTTCCTAGTTATTATATATGTTCCATTATTGGGCTTCTGATATCTGGGTATGTCTGTTAGGCACCTAAGTGCTGCACACATTGCACAAGAAGTGTTACATACCCTCAGTGTAGACTAAAACCACCCATATACTACATGGGGTCCCGAGGAATTGGCTAGAAAGCAATACTTGAAATACTGTTACACTTCACAGCTTAGGCCGTTTACTCTTAGTTACATTTATGCCTTTAATGGAAAGGAGGAGATCTCCCTTTGTTCTGCTGAGTTTCAATCTTATCAGCATACTTTTGTGGGAGACAGGAATTTCAGTGCTATGATAATTTTCTCATTCATCTAGGTTTCTTAATTCTTGGATATTTTTTAATCATAAAGGTCTAAATCAAAAGTGATGTCTTCCCCAGCTGCTTCAAAGAAATTGCCCATGACTTATGGTTTTAGTTTTTTAAATCTTTATGCCCCACTGGGCTGCAGGCATAAGGTAGGTCACAACATGCTCAGATGTAGGTGGTCATGGACACGGACTAAATGAGAACTCTAGGTGCCTGAGGGAACGGGGAACAATTGAGAAGCTTTCTGTTTAAAGATAGAAAATGTTCATTTGGTTGCATCAATCTCCTCAATTCTACCTTAGCTGGCAAGATGGATCCAGCTGTCAGCTGTCTTGTGATTATATGCTCTGCAACTTTTAAAGCAGAAATTAAATTGTATCTGACGTAAAACATGGTAAGTTATTCTGCACCAGTTGCAGCATGTACAAATACTGGGAAAGGCACTTCCTTCACTGATGGTATAGTTCTTATGCATTATATTTTTTAAATACTACAGAATAATAATGAAATGTGGATTCTAGGTGAAGTTCTATAAGAGTTTTTGCAGAGATGGGAAACATCTAGAAGTTGCACGTGATAGAGAACATAGAATATCATGAAAGCTAAAGATTATTTAGAGGAAACTTATTTTCCAATTGAAAACTTAAGAGTAATGGATCATGTTTGTTAGCTGTATCCTTACATAATATGTAATACTTTCATTTTGTAACACACCTTGCATTACAGCATATTAAACCACTGTGTATTCTTTATATTGTTTACTTGAAACTATTTCTAGATTTTCCTTACAAAAAGAATTGACCATTTGTACAAATGAGAAGAAATTTTCTTTGAAATTGGGTACACATCTTAATCTTTCAGGATTTTTTTTTCCAGACCCTTTAATTTGTCAGAGAACAAACTTGTTTGTTTTGCTTCTTAGGAGAAAATGTTTTATTTACGTTAAACTGCTTCTGTTCCAACTCTGAAAAATTAACTTATATATATATAATTTTATCTTTGAAGACTGCTGTGTCTACTTCAGTCTTGAAAAAGACTTTGTGAAGCTTTGTCTGTCTTTTTTCCAGTTGTATCTTGTTATTTTTTTTCTCTTTTGGTGATAAAAAATTCAACCTGTCCCTTCAGTCCTTGCTTCATTTAAGTTTTTAGGAACGGATAGGATGCAACTTGGTAAATGCTGAATTCTACTGACTATAAAGCTGGCACCCTTTTAAAATGAAGAGTATGTGCTGAAGAAGAGATTTGATTATAAAGTAGTCAATCTTCAATATCCTTACATGCCTCCTGAGTTTAAGTAAAAATTTGCAACAGCTTCCTGAGATTAGGAGAATTGCTGTCTTCAGCCTATTTCCAGGACAATAATTTCATGGCTTTCCTGAAAGGCCAACTGACCAGTGTGGATCATTAAGGCTATACTTTGCACTCTATTTACCTCTGCAGTGATTTTCATCCCAGGGGTATGCACAGTTTTGAATGCCATTGCAGACTAAAGAATTATTGATGCACATGTTGCTATGGCAGAAGTAAGTGTTGCCTGAGCAGGGAGCTGCAGAAGAGAAGAGGAAGAAAATGTTAGGGATTTTCAGTAACTCAGAAATTGCAAGAAAGAAAAAAACTAACAAGAACACAAAAAAACTAGTAAATTGCTGTAATTTTTAATTAATGCATATTCTTTTTAAAATTTTAAACAAAATCAGTTCTTATGCACATTATTAATTACCAGATGATTTACTCTTTTGTTTGTTTTGTTGCTTTGTGATGCATTACTGATGCTACAAACAAAATGTTCTTGCTCAGAAGGCAAGGCAGAAAGAAAAGTCACCTGACACAGATAATGGTAGAAGGATTTAATACTTGTCCTTAAAGGCTTAATGCTTAAATCACATGCTCATCATCAATTATATTTATTCAGTCTGCTGTGCATCTGCTATGTAGATGGTATAGCTGGTTGTGAAGCAGCTCCTGAACATCTGCATTTTAGAGTCTATTAATATCTTAAGACAAATCAGATTTCAGCTTGCGGTGGCCTGTTTCAGAAACTGCAAGAGATTTCAGAAACTGGGGGCATCTAAGTCACTTCTGCTTGTGAATCGAAGCTCTTAGATCCTCCTATTAGAGCTAATGCAGGGATTAAGTGAGTGAAGTTCATTTTTAATCTGTTTACATATGGTTAGAAATTTGAAGAAATAATTTAACTAAAAAGTTCTTCTAAAGATTCTCTGTATTCATGTGCATTATACGTAAGTTCTTGACATCAGACAGCTTCTTAAGGAAAAAAGGCTGTTTTCAGGATGGTGTGCAATGTAACTGAGGAGGTCTCTGTGACTTCAGGACACAAGAAATTTGTTTTTCCTTTTTCAGTCTCAGTAATGTGATATTTTTATTATAGAAGTGCCTCTTTTTATGGAAATCAATACATAGCAGCATAGATGTTGTGACAGACATTATTCTACAGCTTGGTTTCATAGGGAGAATTTATTTTTGAGCAGTCTTAATTTTCTAAAACTTAAAGCAAAACCCAAAGGATGCAACAGGGCAGGATGCAACATGACAAGTCCTGTGCACAGCATGTTTCTCACTTATTCTGCCTCTTAAGACTTCAGACTCTCATTGGCAAAAATAGGATTTATGCCTAAAGAAGAGAAGAAAATTCAAATTGGCATTCCCTAACTCTATTAGTCATGTCTTCCCGTTCTGCTGCTGCTTCTCTACTCACCAGCACATTCTCTATTTTACATTCCTGTGCAGTTTCCTGAACAATTTTTGGGTGATGGTTTTTGTTCGTGGGCCCATAAAAACAGAATAAATGAACTTCATTTTCCATTGTTTGTTATTTAGAGAGTATAAAGTCTGTCTACCAGTTACAGTGATTGATTGGTTCCAGTCCAGGACTTCAAGGACATAGCTGGACTCGTATTTCAACAGCTGCCTCAGACTTATGAAGAATTCAGTGTTCATATACAGAATTGTTCATGTACTGAATCAAGCCAGAAATGAGACACATCGATCTTCTTGGTAGCTGAACTGCAAGGAGCACTAAATATTTGCTAGGTGACTGTCTTGCATAATTAGTTCATTTATGCAAATCTTTTCAGAAATATTGATTGTTTTCATGGTTGGCTTCTTATAATTACAAATCATTAGTAAGGTATAAGAAATAAATAGCTTAGAGATCTGAAAAGACAAGCTGAAAGTCACCGTTTTCAGTTAGAAAACTTGCTTATCAATACACTATTTAAAACTACAGGAGAAACTTAGTTTTCAGACATGTACTTTTGGATTACTCTATCCAAAAAAGACACTATCTGTAGTTAGAAGATAAATAAAAATAATAGTGTAGCACTGCAGACTCTGCTCTGGCAATGACTTCTGAATTGCTTTGAAATTGTCACTAAGGAATGTTACCCACCCTTAGAAGTAGGCACTGTTTCAGCCTCTTGCACTTGACTTCTCCCCTGCCCCCAGTATCTATAATATAAGTGGATAATTTTCCCTGCCAAAGTTCATAGCTTTTTTGAGATTGAAAGCTGCAATAACCTGCACTATCAGTAATATTATGTTACTAACCATCGTGAAATAAAAACTACTGGAAAAGCTGTTATAAATTTGATAAGCTGTGCTTAAAACTTCACTGTAAGTAAAGTTGATTAAATGCCCACTGCAGGTTAAGCAATAGAGTAGTTTCTGAAACATGCAATTGCTTCTTACTATCTTGTATACAACATTAAGCAATAAAGCATTTATCTTAAATTACTCTTACTTTACAAAGACTGTTGCAGAGAAAGCAACTTCCATCCTGTGTCAACACATCCTGTGTGATGGAGCTGAACATAAAATCTGTTACCTGTAACTTGAATTACTTTTCCAAGATGGTGATCTTGGTATCCCTTGGTATCCCTTTCAAGACTGTTACTTGTGTCCAAAGAAGTTACTTCTTTGACAGTAAACCTGTACACCTGTACTGGAAGTTGAAAACTTTCAGCAGAAAGCACAGCTTTACCTCCTGATGTGGCAGATAAGTTTTATTCAGTTCTTCCCATAGATCTCAGATCTAGTCTATAGTTCCAAACATAGTTACTTCTGTGCTGAAGATGCCACGCCAGGTTTCAGGTTCTGCAGTGTGGACCATGTAGTGCCTTGTAAATATGTGAGGCAACAAAGTTCAGTTAAGTTCAGAGAGCTTTCTTCGCTTGGAAGATCTCACAAACAGCATGCTTTTAAGAAGCATCTTAGGCATTGTTCTCACTGTCTCTAATGCAGGCTATGGAATACAAATAGAAACTGAGAAAAGCATTTGCAGCTCTGCTTTTAATATAGGCTTCTTGATGAATTAAACTGCTTTATCTGTGGTTGTGCCATAACTGGGCTTAGCAGGGGAAGCACACATGGGACTGTTTTAGAGTCATGTGCAGTGGAGAAAGGAGGCAACAACTTAGGTGCAGTAGGAGTGGATCTGTGGTTGAAGCTGTGGGTAGGAAAATGTTCCAGACTCTGGATGGACTCCGCATGGTCACAAGCATTCTCTTGTCCTTTGAACATCCAGGCTTGAGAAGAGCCTGTCCTGGTGTCTGGCAGGGAAGCAGAAGTTGGGTGCTTCAGTCCCACTGTTGTCTTTTAAGTAAGTCTGTGCATGTCTGTAGTACTCGGTAAGAATGACCTACACTAAGGCTCCATTAGTACTGAATTCAAATGAAAAATAAAACTTCTAAGAAAGAAGGAAAGTCATTTTTCAGGAACTATGGTGCAACTGCAATAAAGCAAGTATTTAACTTAACTACTCCTACCCAAAGGAAACATTGTTTTTGAGTGTATGTTCCTATTGCACAAGGTATAGTTATAGCTTTTCCTGTAATTCTTGAGGCAACCCAATACCAGGAGAATGAACTCATTGAAATCTACTTACGATCCACAAATGAAGTGAAGAGCATTCTGAATCTGCTTAGTCTGCTGCCTTCGTCTGCCCACATTCGCACCACACCAGTTCCGGTCTGCAGCATGACATCGTTTGCTACAGTGCTGCAAAACTTTGCCTTCAGGTTTTCAATGGAACTGCTTCCATCATATACAGCAACAAAGTTTCTTTTGCATTCATTGGAATGCTCCATTTGATAGTCCAGAAATCGTAAATAGATCTGTTAGAAAAAAGAAATGAGTATCTCCTGGAAAAGTAATACAGAGAAAACAATTTTCTTTTTAGGAAATCTTGAATAAGACATTTTAAGCTGCTTAGACCTTTGTTAAGCCTACAGTCAGTTACTCTAAAGCAGATGCAAGAAACGCACAAGTGTCCTGAAGAATGTTAGTGGTATTTTGACTGCCCTCTTGCCTTTTTAATTCGTAAAAATAACACTAAAATATAAGGGAAGGAATCTAGTCAGAAAAGCTCTGAAGCAAAATAAATTAATCACAGTTTGTTGCTTTAGAATGGTGGAAGCTAATTACTAATCCATAGCAGTGTTACGGAAGACATAAGCCACGAAGACATGAGTAATTTGAATAAAAATGGAAGTGGGAGAAAAGCAAACTGGCTGCCTAGGACAAATTTATAAAATGAAGCCAATGATAACTCGTGCAGAAATAGAAATTTAACACAAGTAAAGGCAACATATGTGGTAGATCATATACAGTGGGGAAATTAGAAGACCAAGAGAATAGTTGGGGAGTAAACAAGTAATTTATCTCGCTGGGAAACTTGGGAAAGACTGTAATTTGGTTACAAGTGCATAGAAAGATCACTGGGGTTTTTAATCCCTTGTTATGTCAGTCTTGGGACTTCCAAAATTCTAGTGAAAGTTGAGGAGATATGTAGTCACTTCTAAATTAAGACCTTATTTAAACTTTAGAATTCTCAAGCTATCCATTGTTTTGCCAGAGAAGAAATCTACACATATGGGGGCTTGGGTCTGCTACACTGTGGGACAGGGGGTCGTAATCCATCAGGTGCTCACTGTACTCTTCAGATAAGCTTGTCTTTGACTGCCTGCATGTACAATTGCCTCTCTGGCTGCTGCTGTGAATGTTAAAGGCATTTTTCACAGCACAGTTCTTCATGCATTTGCCTAATGACAAGAATCTCAACTTCTGTTTAATTTTTGAAGGAGACTGTGGATGAATACCATGCATGACTGCTATACTACCAGTCTTTCTGTCCTTCTGCCATATCTTGCTCTTAACTAGAGTAGAAGCCTTTTAAATCTGGATTTTAAAGAATTCACTGAAACAAAAGCACTACTTTTGTGTGGGGAAAAAACATGCCCTCCCAACACCTCACAGAATTTATTCAAAAGCTAGTAAAAGAGCACATAAGAGATTGATTACACTTGTACACTCTGACTCTTCCTTTCTTTCTGGTTTCTGCCAGAGGCAGCTTGCCAACACTTTCATTCTGTGAAAAGGTGCAGCCTGTGTCACAGTATCTCATAAACATGGGTGTGAGCTGCAGGTGCTCATATTTTCACTTAATGATTGGCTTTGTCTGTGTACTGCGAAATTACAATGGAAACTAAAAATAAATTAGAACTTTTTTAGTAGAGCTATTCTGCATATGAAAACAAAGGAGTAATTCTACTGAAAAGACTCAGCTCTGCAAAAGCTCCTTCCAGTTTGTGTGCCAGGCAAGCAAATATAAAACACCTTTGCTCATAGATTATTTTGATTATTCTAGTAATCTTCTGAAATATGGAGTGATTTATTCAATTTATATTATGCAGATTTTAAAAATCCTTTTATCACTCAGTTGTCAGTTTTAAAAATTTATTTTTTATTACAAAATCGAATTGAGGAAATTAAAAATGTCTATGTTTTATTTCCTCAAGAGACAGCACAGTATCAGATCTAATGGGTTTTATCATCACAATTCAGCCAAAACAGAAGCCTGAGAAACCACTTTTAAAATATGAAGTTATTTTTCTGTCATGTTTTAACTCAATAATTTAGAATGGTGATCTAATCTCAGAACTGACCCAACTACAACTGTGCCTTCTGGCAACATTCAATAATTTATTAAAATAGTTAAGCATAAGATCTGGTGCACTCGACTGGAAATGCAGAGAGAAAATGGTTTTATTATTGTTTCTGAAAGAACTGCTACTATTACTTAGACTAGTACAGGGCTCCTGGGAGTTGAGTCACTTCCTCAAAGGCTCAAATATATTAATGGAGTTTCAGTTTCTTGTCTTCTCCTCTTATTACTACTTTTAGGTTGTTGTTTCATCGATTTGAAAGTTGCTGAATATACTAACTCCTAGAAGTGGGTAAGAAGGCAAACACTAGGTTTGTCATCTTGGCAGGTCCTGCTATTGAAAAGACTTTTTTTCATCCTTTATGTACACGGAAAATGCAAGCAGTAACGTGTGCTTTAATACACATGCAGAAGCAAGATTACAGATATGTATGCTATACAGAGAAAAAATTACGTATTCTTCAGTGCAGTGCTTAAATAATTACCAAGTGCAGCTTATATCAGAGACTGTGATAATATAGCAAAGCTTTGTTGACTTCAAATAGAACCAAATTCCCCAGTAGAATTACTGGCAGCAAAATTTTACCTGCATTACCTGGCAGCATTTTTACCTGCAGTTTTCCAATAAAAGCACAGGCCAAATCAAATGCCTTTGAAAAATGTTTCTTGAACAGTTTTCAAGTCTACTCTGTATTTGAAGTTTCACACAATAGGAAGACTTGGAAGATTTCAGAATAATCTATCTGAATTTCCTAAGCCACTGAAACATAATTCATTTCAGTGAGAGACATTATGCAAATTGCTATTACCTGTTAGTAATGACTTGGAAACCCATTACATACTGAATGATATGAATGAAACCCACCTTAGCATTTGGAGTAGCTTTAATTGTCCATATGCAATCAACTGCTTGTCCTGGTTTTGTTTTTTCTTCTTGTTCTACTTGACTGGAACGTACTATTCCATCAGCTCCCGAGAGCTCAAATTGGCAGTCTAGGGAAAACATATACCTTGCTGTCAAATGCAGTATGATATTAATTCAAAATTCCTTATATAAAGAAATTGGTATTGTAATACTAGACCTGGAATGGGATTTAAAATACCTCCTAGGTAAGTGAAGTCAGGATCTGTAATAGAAAGAAGTCATGAATCACAGGGGCTATCAATGCTTGAGAATCACTTCAAGGTTTATTACAATCTGAAGATGATGTCCATTTTTATTATGTCACAATAAAAATTGCTAGAAAGTTTGTTCAGTCAATTGGAAGGTACAAAGGCAAACTTTTTTTAGAGAATACAAGATTTCATAAAGATTGAGCTTAGCTGACTAAGGCAATTCTATACTTACAGCTCAGATTTCCAGCATAACAGCAGAAATTACTAGGCATTATGTTTCCACATTATATTCTGAAATTTAACCATACCACTTTTCACTGAAATCTGTGGAGCTCCACAAGAGTACAAGAGACCTTTCTGTGTGCATCATTCTGACCAGACTGTTGTCTGTCTAGCTCAGAACAATGCAAACTGGAGTGCTTTTGTAGAATATATCAACACTTTGACATTCCTAATTTCTACTAATAATGAATATAAGGAAGACAGCTTAGTACTAAAGTTACTTTTTCTTTGGATACTCATGTTGCTTATTTTAAGCCAAGTAGCACAGTTCTAAACATCATTAATTAGCACAGAATTCAGCATTAACTGCTCCTCTTATGTACCTTCTTCTAAATGCAAAGTGTATGTACTGCACATATCTGCATAGTAAACTGTATTAATATACTGTATGTGTTCTAGTAGTGAGTTAATAATACACTTTTTTTTTGATGATTAGATGATGGTACTTAACTTTACTGGGACTGGGGCTTGGCTAAAATTGGGTCTCGAGTGGTCTGGGATGTCTGGGGTTTACATTTCAGTGATCAGATTTGTGTTTCCCCACAAATTGCATGTTTTCCCGGGTGTTGTGTTGAAAATCACCGAGGAAGTCACATACATCCTAGTGTGTATGTGTGTGTGAGATGTTAGTCTGTCTAAGCAGAGGAAGTACTCCAGCCTGGGACTGGGTTAAATTAGTTCTGGAACTGATGTTAATGAAATGGCTGTAGAAATGGATTTAGCAAAATGTAGAAGTATTGTCTCTGTGGAAGTATTTCAGTGGATCACTCTCGGTGGACTGGTTACATTAATCTGAAGAGTTTCCAAGTCTAAATCCCTAGCAAGGTATACATTCTGTAAATAATAATACATAATTGTGTGTAGTGTATTCACATGCTGCAGTGGTAAAGACCAGTTGGGTACATAAGACAGCATAAAATAGTTATGGCCATGTATCCATTTACAGCAGTAGTAGAGCTGACATTTGTATATTGTGTTTTGTCCCAAAGGACAATGAAGTGCTGATACTACACGTGTATTGTATCTATGAAATACAGCAGTCAAGCATTGTACAAGGATATCAGGTCAAATTTAGTTGTGAAAAGAATGTCCTGCCAGTTTAAAGTGGCTCCACAGAGCAGATTAGTTGTCTGTCTAAAGGCACAGTCAGCATATGATCTGCTCCTTCATACCCTGAGAACAGCTCAGTACTTTGAGCAAAGAACAATTCTGTTTTCTGAGTTGGCGGTTTGTGGGAATCTAGTTACACTGATAGCTGATATTTATATTGTCTATATGTTTCCTCAGGCTTTTCAGTAATGGAAAATTAAAATAGTTTGCACCTAGCTGGAAGTCCTATTGTAGTCTGACTTCAGGTGTTTCTGTCAGCGTGTCGTACATTCCTAGAAGATAGGCTGCTGAAAATGGCAGCTACTAGCCTGCAGTGGGGGACCTGGTACGAATTACCAAAGAGGGAAGTTGCTAAAGTCTTCAGCACAAACAAGATCAACTGGCCTCTTCATTAGGAAAGTATAAACCTGTAATTCTCTTCAGTCAATTTTCCAAAGTGTTTTTATTCAAGTATGCTCCAGGATTAGCAGAACGGGTCTGTCTCTAACTGTTGCATTGTTACTTTTGCCCTCATAAGTATTTACAATGAAATACAGTTCTGACTGCCAGCATAACACATCCACAGGGTTGAGTGGGAGCAAATGGTCTTTAATTTGGTTGTTAATTTTAAGTATCTTTACCTGGTATAAATGAGTACTTTGCTTGAAATCCCTTTCCTTCCAGCTCCTCATCAGAAATAAACTTGATCCACATAAATCTCCCCGTTGATCTAATTAGTGCAGGACTTTTCAGACCACAGTAACGATCGATTAGAGGGGAGAAGCCAAAAGGTCCATCTCGAACCTCCAGGTGATCAAACCGACATTCAAATGAGGGTTCAATGTAATAAGGTTCATCAAAGGTCAACTCAATTCTTTGCCGTGGAGCAGCTAGACATAAAAAATTAAGCAAAAGATTAAATGCAGATCTATATTAAAAAAGCATGAAGACATGAAATAGTAGAGAGACCTCCAAAACAGCAAGATAACAAAAGAGACTCAAATTACATCTGGCAGTCTGCTCCAAAAACTCAGGTATACAGGACCAAAAATTCAATAACTGAAAAATTCATACTTTTTAATGGAATTAAAAAGTATTTTCTATTTTTTTTAATAACTGAATATTAAACAAAGACATAAATTTAAAATATCACGCGTAACAGATGTCAACATTAATGCAAAGACATTCAATCAAGGATAAATATTAAAATATAAATTAAAAATTATGTTCTTTGGGGCCAGAATACATAAAAGAGGAAAAAACTTTGAAGGATGTAGAAAAGAATGGAAAAGAAAAATATCTCAAGAAATCACTGGCGTATTTCCTAAACAGTAAGCCCTAATTTGGAGATGCTTTGGTTGGAGACTTCTTTTATTAGAATACTCAGAAAGGTGTAAATGGCTTCATTTACATGATCAGTACAAGAGCGATGGGTGTAAGTCTGAACCAGGACTTGGATAAGACTCCTAAATCCTGATGCAGTACAGCTAAGGTTACATATTGACTTCATATCTGTACTGAAACCGTGCCTTTATATTGTATGTGTAGATTTAGGGTTGTTCTTGTCATCTGTTGTCCTAAATGAATCTTCAGATACTAACTGGCATCAGGAATGACAGCATTAACAAATCAAATGCTGTCTGCTTCTGCTGGATGCAAAAGCAATTTATTTATACATCTCTAATAGTGTTTAGATCTTTACACCTTAATTATACAAGAGTTAAAGACATTCCTGGCTGTTACTTTGCACATGCTGTAGTGGTCTGGAAGGACAATGTTTTAATCAGAAATTGTGGAGGAACTTTGTCTTGCCTATTTCTTGCCACAGTAATAACTGTGAGGACAGAGGCATGGAAAACAATTCTGTGCCCTATGGAACTGCCCTGCACAAGGAAGATCCAGCAGGTCTGGTAGCTCTGAAGCTGGACAGAATATCTGCTCTTCAGGTACACGGTGGCAGGGAAGATGCAAAACATCCGCTGCACAAGCACAGAAGCAAAATTCAGGGTCTCTGTTAACCAGTACAAATACAAACTCACTGAAACCTGTTATTGAAGTACATTAATTAATTGATGTGAATCTGATGATGAAGCTTACTAGCTGACTTCAGCGGGTTTTGGATGCATTCTAGTAAGAGGGAAAATAATTTGTGTGTCCCAAGTCTTACAGCCCTTATCCAAGATATTCCCATCAGATTCTGTTTTATCAAGTTAATGAATTTTTTGTCCCCATTGCATGACTTCAGCAGTGACCTCAGCAGTGCTAATAAACCTCCATTTTTAGTACAGTGCTATGGTGACAGACAGGTGTGGGTATTTTTATTAATAAAGGGCAGCATAAAGATCCTCTGCCTCTGAGATACACTTAGCCTAATACAGTGTGGCCTGGTAAATGCTAAAATGGTTCTTCAGCCATTTTTTGCAATTTATTTTCAGCAATATTGTAAGTGATATTAAGGTAAGCTACAATTTTTATCATAGTATTTCTTTGCCTTCGTGGATTACAGTAGATCTGATACTGCTTTTTCAGGCTATGTCTTATTCCATATTGATAATTCCTGCATGATTGCCTTTTATATTAACTCGCTCTTATTACTTGAGAGAGCACATTTAGCTTCTTGCTAAACCAAGGGATGGCAGAGTTGATTCTATTACAAATGCGGTTATGCAATACTTGACGGTGTAGTAAGATGTCACAGTTTGAACAATTTGGCATAATCTGTTTGACCGTAAGATTACAATACAGCAAAACACAAAGACAGCCAATACCTTCCAGGATGTAGATGCACTCTTGATTTGGTGGGTACATGTTAGGGTAGTTTGGTGAAGCAAAGTGTCCTCCATTACTGGTCCGTACCCAGTTATCACACTGCGTAGGAGGAATGCGATTCAATCCAATATTTTGCCCACCTTCAGGGAAAATAAAGGGATGAAATAAATGTCTCCTGCAAATATGCAAATTTTATTTTTCACAAGTGAAACACTGACATAATGCATAGCCTATATTAAAAAAAAATGTTTTGGTTGAAAATCCTCTTATCACATATGGCACTTGTTAATATATAGCTAGGGAAATCTTTTGTTTAATTTATGATGTGGTATATCCTGATGAGATCATGGTTTCTGAATACTAGATCTGTACAGTAGTCCTTGGGAAAGGAAGAGAGGGTGTAAATATTTTTACCCAAGCGAGTTTAGATTCCTTGATGCTTTTTTCTAAGACAAATAGTCATTATGGCTGTCAGTAGAACAGCTTTATTTTAAGGTCTGTATCTTTTTCATTCCTATGCAAATGTAATCCAAAATATTTGTTAGCGTGTAGCATTTCTGACCCTCATTCCAGAGTAAACTGAAGTACATGGACCTCAGGCTATTTACAATAATATGTTGCAATACAAAATGCTTCTGATATGTAAATAAGCTAAATATAGCAATGGTAGTTAAAATTACTAGCAGTAATTAGACTGCACTGGTAGCTAAGGGGCTCGTTTAAGATCAAAGATCTCTTCTTCTAGATGTGCAGGGAAATACGCTCTGTAGCTGAGGTGATGCAGTTTACTAAGGTTATGCACTCTGCTGGACCATGCACAAAAGCTCTGTTAGTTCAGATTTCCTTATCCTCTGAGCAAGGTCTTGGAACAGTAAGATCCATCTGACATTGTTTTTAAGTAACTTTGACCTCTTTGATACCAACCGTACTAAAGAGAAAACAGGATATGTGCTTTCTGCTGGATTTTTCCAAACCTCAGAGGGATGCCCTCGTAGACTTATCTATGTTTACAGTTTTTCTTTGCAGACCATTCAGTGCACACTGATATGGGTCATAGCTGCCTACAGTCAATTACATCACCTTCCTCTGATAAGTTGGCAGCCTGTATTTATGGGGGTGAAAAAATCTTAGTCTCTCCTGCAGAAACTGTTCTAGGAAATTATGTAGGTGTCATTTCAAGGAATTCTTCTCACCTACGTTAGGATTAATCACGCACATGACAAAATAAGTCATATGAAACTAATGCCTTCCCCACTCAGGAGGTGTTGGCTTCAAAAACTTTTGTGGGTGGACTACTTGAAAAGCTTGTTGTCAGACAGAGAAAACATGGGTTTCCATGGTGTTTGTTTTTTTCTTACCCCCATCCTCTGAAGTCCAAAACCACAGAATTTTAATGGTGTAAGTGAACCTTCATCTTCTTTTTTTTTAACTGGGTTGGGAGGAGGAGAAGACCTACTAGTATCTGAACACAGCTGCTTTCTTTGACTTATATGGCTTAACTCAGAACTGCAAAACTCGTACATTTTTTTTGAAAGAAAATCATCAAAACAAAATTGTACCTTGTGTCTTCTGTGCAACAGCAATCCCTTCCACAACAAGGATTGTTACTAGCAACACTGATAAGAGAAAGTGAACAGGAAAAGCATCAGTAATTGAACAAAATTATCTGCCATTTTCTGCAGTCCCTATTCACACAAATCCTAGAATCACTAGCCGAAACAACTCAGAACACACAAAAGTACACAATTTATGTGCTTTTTAACATTTCAGCTTTAGGAAACCAGTGCAGTTTAAGTGCACTGCAGGTTCTTCTTCCAGGCTGTTAAGAATGCCTATATGAAAGCAGCCATTTGTTGCTTGAGGGGACTTCAAGAATCTTCTGTAGAGTCTCTACTAATTTGAAAGCATCTTATAACATTAAACGGTATCTATCTTCTGCGTAATTTCATATCCCGAACTCAGATGTTTGGCAGACATATTGAAGCGTATTTATCTTAAAACTCCATATGCATAACACGTGTGCAACAGATTTGTCAAGCTTACACAAAATTAACTAAGACTAGGAAGGGAAACAGGAATGAAGTTAGAGTATATTATTATGCCCCTCTTCAAATCCTTGATTTGCTTCCATCTTGAATACCTCTAATAATTCTGGAGCCACATGTTAGAGTACTGGCTAAGCAGGCTGTGCTTCTGGAAAGCACAGAATATGAGTTACAGTATCATGTGTGTTGCTGAGACAGTGAATGGAGAGCACTGGCTCAGTTTCCTTTCCCATACAAGAGCCAAGGGGTAGCACTAGCAGGTGGCACTTTCAAAGCAAAATAAGATTATTTTTTTTTAATGTACATATTTCATAATGCATCGTTAAAATGGAAAATTCAGTTTCAGGAAGCCCTTGAGTCATAAGCTGCTGGATGTCTGCAGCTTATGGGATAGTATTTGGGATGCTATCTGGGATAGTGTTTGGGCAAACATCATTTGCTCTGTTTATACTCTTTCTGAGGTCTCTGCTTTAACATCTCTGTGGAAGACAAGACAGAAAGCTAGATGGACCTTTAATTTGACCTGGCATGGCCTTTCCCATGCTTTTAACCTATTTGCTAATATTAAGTCAGACAAACACGGCCTCATTTATGGAGAAAAAAAGATTTCAGCAGGAATTCTATTGTCACATTGAAAAGTTCACTCTTTTTTCCCAGTTTGTCCCTCTCATTGCTCAGGTATTTTAGTATCTCATGCTGAAATGGCATTTTCTCTATCGTGATTCCTCTGTGCTGCTTATTAGACTTTCAGCCCTTCAGTGAGCTCTGGAGGGAGCATGCACTGACTGTGAACTACTGCGATCCTGACTAAATTCATATAGATGCTACTGTAATGTTGGCACAGATATATTATCTCAGGGAAAGACGGAAGGAATCAAAGCCTGCCTCTGGAAGTGTCGGTCTTACATTACTGTTTTATTATGTATGTTTCTGCTGCCCTTTCTTCTCTCTACCGATATTAAAAAAGATTGTACATGGCTATGAGACTTACCTCAGCAACAACCATTTTTTCTCTTGAAGACTCCCACCCTCTATTTTGCAAGGACGTAGCAATCTCAAATCAATTTAGACCACTTTTATAACTCTGTGCTGCTGCTTAGAGTGCAAAATGACTTTTTTTCTTAAAGCAAGAAAACACAAAACCCACAGCAATCCTTTATAAGAAAAGCAAATACTTTCATGACTAACAGAACTCATGCAGACATTATTCACTTTCAAGTATCAGTGAGAAATCTGCGTTGTTTTTTTTTGTTTTAGTACAGCTGTCTGCTATCACTAATACTATTATTGTGCCTTTTTGCTTTCTTTTTTACCTTAAGAATATCAGTAAGCACCTATCATTACTTCAGTGATTGTGGTGTCTTCTACAGAACATAAAAATAGACACTCAGTTACACGAACCAGCGATTTCTCTTCTTGAAATGATGTGGAGACAGAAACAAGGACTTCAGACAATCTGATTGGTTTTCACTAAAGCCTGTGTGCTTCTATAAATAGTTGAGAGCTGTGTGTGTAAGTGCAAAAGAACGGAGCATGTTTCCTGCAGAACAGCATGGGCATGCAGACACTTATGGAAGATAAATGGTCTGAATGTTTGTCTTACGGTCTTCATTTTGTCATGTAATATGGATGAGTGGGTATAGTACGTATGGGCCAGCTTCTCACTGTCCCTTCTCATCCTTTCCATTTTTAATCTCTTCCATCTCTTCGCCTTTCCCTTTCACTGCCTGTGTAGCAAATGTTTAAGGGCCTGTCTTTGCCATTTCTTTTATCCCTGGTGATAAAGACACATCTTTTTCTAAACACAGAAGAATATTCATCAGTGTGTGGGCTGTCCTTATCTCTGTGACATTGTGACTGAAGAGGTGGAGAGAGGACTTATTTCCATCTTCCAGAGAGTAGTGGGCAGGGACTCCTAAAGCGATATCACCTTAAACTGGGTGCATTTACCTGCATGATAGCAAACAGGAGCTTTTTGGCTGGAAACAAGGCTGTCAATGTTCAGGATGAAAGGAGAAGAAAGAAGGGAAAGAAATGAGCCAGGATATTTTTAAACCTTTTAGACTGCTTCCATTAACCCATTTTTGTCTATTTTTTAAAAACAACAAAGCAGTCACTCGGTGTCCTAAATCCGTATCACTTCCTGGAAAAATATTTACAAATCTCAAAGATGAATTTGGACCATAGTCAGTAATAAGGAAAGCAGATGTCAAAAGAAGAGACAGCGCCTGTAGGACAGCTCAGTGGGGAGCTTGTGCTGAACAGTGTGCTGGCAGTGCGTGCGGGGACACGGACCCAGCAGGCAGAGCAGGCAGAGACACTGAGCTACTTTCACAGAAAGTCTTGTAGCACTTTCAGAAGGATCAGAAACAATCTTGTTATTTCTGAAAAACTGAAATTCAAAAAGAATGCGCCTGAACTTGCAATAGGACATAGTATTCCCCTACTTTTTTTCTGTCTTTTAAAGTCTGTCACCTATCAGCGTGACATGACTATTCTTCCATGAGGATGAAAGCGAACTCTAGACTTAGCTCTGTATTCTACCTTGATACTGGAAATAGAAGCAGCAAGTGTGTAAAAATGCCACTTGAAGGTGGCTTGCTAATGTAAGCAAGAGCATGAACAGTGCAGGACTGCATGACCGCACTGAATATCTAAGGGACAGAAGGATGTTTTGGATGATTTTTGATGCAAAGAGTGAGGTGAGAATTCTACTAGAGATCTGGGAGACTGACCTCGTTTTCTTGCAGCTATTTAGCTGGTAAAGATAGAGGCTAGAGCTTCTGCAACATATATTAAGCTTCTACTTTGTGGCATCTAAACTGTAGGAGAGGCTATCATGAAACCAACAGCGGCAAAACCATTGAGGCAGGCAGATTAAGTGGAGCATCTTTAATTCATGGATCTGGTACTTGCTACAAACTTTTATTTCATAAATTATGGTGCACGGTTTTATACTACCATTTAAAGCTCTGATAGTTTTTACCTGTGTGAACACTAACTGGAAATGAAGCAAAAATGGCAAGCTTCTGTCTGTTTATAAAAAGAATCTATTTTTCATATTGTTTGCTTGTTTGCATGAAAGATTTTAGATCACATAGCCTGCAGACGGCTGTATAAATTTTTAAGAGTGAATACACTAATCATACGTTGCAAGTTATTATTACTACTCAGTTGTTGAAATAAGCTTATGGAATCCTATAAACTGGTGTGATGAATTACATATTTCTGTGAGAGTCAAGATTGTCTTTGCTGGCATTTCTTAGTTTTCTGAAATGACTATACGACGCAAAGCACATTTGCTAGCTTGGTTTTGAAGTGGCTCTTATTTCTCTTTAAAAAATAGAATAATATAGTTTCATAGTAGCCACCATTGAAAAATCAGAGTTTTGCTTAAAGAAGCCAGTGCTGTAGGCTGCAGATCTGATATATGCTTGTACTTTCTTGCAAGATGCAGTCTTCAGATTTCATGAAGTACACTGCTGCTCCGAGCTCTCTACAGTATGTCTTTCCTCTGCTTTTTCTGCATGCTCTAGGGATCTTCACATATAGAGAAAACACACAAGATTTGCTGCATAGCTGTGAGAGCAGTGTCTGTCTTCAGTGATAACAATGGGGGATCTATGCATGCAGGGCAAGCTGAATATCAAAGTTGGGAGCAATCATGCAGAACTCAGAAACAGTGAAATTTCCACCAATTCTTAAAATAAAGACATGATCGTTTAGAGTATTACACATTCTTAGTAATAGTGGTTGTCAGAATCCTAGGGATAAAGTTGACAGACATTGCTTAGAGCAGGATTCCCTGTTTTATCTCTGTGCTGTACTCCCTGGATTAGGCAGCACCTTATGTACACACGGTCCAAATAGACAGTAATTGGCAACACACAGGTCATGCATGTTAGAACAACTTGCCAGGATGCCTGCTTCTTTCTGGCAGATACAGCCTTGTGTAACAAATGCTTATCTTAATTATACACTGTGTTTTGCCTTATGGGAATGAATCCTTTTCTATGTACTATTCTTAAACCCAGCTCTTAATTTTCCCCCTGCATGCTATAATTAATACTACTTTCAGGAACTGCTAATTGCAGTGTCCCAGCACTTATGTCCAATGATTTTCCATATGTTTTGTCTGAACAGCGTAGTGGAGACATTAATGTGGTGGAGACATTTGTGATGTTACACCCTGTCTTATTCTCTGGCCAAGGGCATATATACAATAGGAATTGCTCACGTTAATTTTAGTTGTCGTTAAAGGACTCTATCAAGTGTAGGAACCCACAGTGTTAGGTGCTGCACATATTTAAAGTATTTTACTTGGTCTTGGAAGAAACTTCTTCAGTTTAGACAAAACAATGTGAAAATGGATGGATTTTGTATAATTACATGTGGATGCTCACTTCCTTTTCTTTCAGAAAGGTAATTACATGCATTTCTGATTCAAACAATTTTTAACTCAGAAACGGACAAACTGTAAATCCCAGAGGAATTAGGTTTTTTTCTCTCTTCCTAGCACTTGGTGACATTTTCTAGGTGATAAAAGCAATACTGGATTGCATCTATTACTG